CCTGCTCATCGACGTATATTGGTTCTATCGAAGATACTGATTGTATTTCCCCACTCTCGGTCGGAAGAATGTCTTGCTCAGTTACTGCCCTGCCTATCTCAACCAGCTACTGCAGAGCGCATTGGCTTATTGAGCTCAAGGGACCCAGTTTGGATCTTATTGCTATGCTTGAGGGCAATCAGGTCCACTGGATTCGCATCGCTCCTGGCCTCTCGTCTCCTGAAGGCCTCAGTGCCATTACATTTGATCTTTCCGAAAAATCCCCGGCGATTGGAGAAATCAAAAATTGTATCTGGCTTCCGGAGCACCTGACGAGGTTAGAAGGGCCGTGTCCTTGCATGGAGTGGGTGTAAGCTTATTCGTCATTGTGGCCGTTGTCTCAAAGGACTATCAATCTAATACATCACAGGTTTGGAGTCATCTGGAACTACCAGAGGTTATGCTATATGACGGATTCGGCCGACGGGACTACTCTTGACAATCTGATGGACAGGTTGGTTTACCTTTCGACTATCCATCTGGCCTTGAGCTCCCGAGAATATTGAGGAAGTAGGCGGCATTTTTGGAGCCGAAATACTGTATACGAATCGCATTTCATGTTTGCTTGGCCTTTAACGTTGAAACGTGCGACACCAAGCGCGATTCTTCTGTGAGGTCATTCATTGCCTTCTTGTTTTCTAGCGCTACGTGTAAGACCATAGCAATACAAGACTGCTCTGTAGAGAATCATGAGAATTGGACTCATCCTAGATCTCAGAGTAATCACTGAAGAGTGACATAAAAGCGTTTGCGCGGATCTTCAAGTATCATTTCCCGGTTTAACAGACTGAACAAACAGATTAGAGGTTCATTCTAGGAACAATCTATAACATGCAGCGGACTCATGCGAATGTGTCCGCCCGCTGTACTCCGTACAGGCTGCAGAGAAAGCTTAGCCGCAGTCACCCACGCCTAGTATTTATTACCGTCAGCCATAATTCGGCTTCCAAGAGCTTGCGGAACAGAAGTTTGAACAGCCTCGCAACAGCAAAACCGACTGCAAACGACCCAAATACCGCAGGAGCCAAATAGAGACAATGGGGCAATATTTGCTCCCTTTCTCAATTATAGAATCTGGCGCGTAGCATCGAACGTGCGGAGCGGATCAGCTTCTTTCAGAGTGCTACGACGCAATGTTAAGTCTTACTGTCCAAAAGAACTTGGTCAAAAAGAACTTGGATTTTGAAGATTCCTTCGCGTACCGTATCGAAGAAGAGACCAAATTAAACTAGAAATGGCGCTACCTTGACCGCATTACCATCGAACAGGCCTCAATTACTGAGATTGGCCGTTGAAGTACTCCCGTATCTCTATACGAGCGAGATGGGATAAACATTGGCTGAATGAGCGAGACGGCAAGAAGACCAGCCAGCGCCGACGAGTCTTGCATAGCCTGAAATGTCCTCTGCTGGGGGCACAAATACTGTCGTTACATTGCAGTGCAAGCACACCGACCCAGGGTACACGCTCTCTAGATGCTCTGGTTTACCGTATTTGTGCCCCGAGGTCTGATCCGACTCTGCAGACATTTTCCAGGTTCCGTAACTCATTCGTTGAAATCGACCAGTACATGTGCGACGGGAGGCCCTTTTTTTTTCCACTTGTAGTTCTTGCTCGTTTAAAGAAGGGGTAGGCGGCGGAGGACCCGATCCGAACAAACTATTCTCAAGGCCGTGTCAGTTATCTTCCTGCCATCTGGTCACGAGGGTTAGTCAGATAACAGACAAGAATTAGGGAGTAATAGGTTATGTTTGCTCACCTGTGCCCACATCTCAGGCAGCGGTAGAAGATGGTGCTTCCTTCGTCAGCGCTCCTCAACTGCACCTGAGCATAAGTCACCTCCTTGGATGGGCATTTGACACAGTCCACTTCGATCCTGGGCCCAGACCCAAGGACTTCACGATCGACAACCTGAGTATTGGATTTCAATTTATTCCTGAGTCTTGATGGAAAATTTTCAGAGACATATTGTCTCGTGTAAGATAACGCTTCATCTTTCCAAGATCGATCCGTTAGCCCCACAGAACAGCAGAATAAGAGACAAAATCTAGCATACTCTTCGCAGTCTTTCCGCACAGCTCGCACTTCAAAACCTCCGCGGGGGAGATATCGAGAAGATTCCCACAATCTTCACAGAATTGGACGACCATGATGTCTCGCAATAAAAGTTTCCTGGAAGGGTACCGGAGGCTTAATATTATCAGAGGGCGGAAAAGAAAATTTTGATTTTTTTGAGAACGACCTTGCCAGAGAACCTCAAGCATGACTAAGCCTAAACGCCAAGCCCCATCAACAGGCGTGCCACTCATTTTAGTAAGCTTGTTCTCCACAAATCTCCATTGCTCCATGGGCGGCAAATCTGGCGACATTCTCCTTCGTGATGGCGGCGGCCCAGCAAAGCTGGCCCAAGGAGAAAAACCGTCGACGGCTACCTATCTCGGCCGCGACTGGCGCGGACGGTGTGAAAGTTGCGAAGCATTGGCGGAGAAACGATGAGGCCCGGGGCTGGATACAAACAAAGAGCAACCTATCGAGAAAAATTCAAGAACTCATGTGGAATGACAACAATGCAGGTGCAAATTATGCCCAATCAGCTGTACGATATATGGAATAGGGGAGCACTTAGCCACGCCGGTCATGCAGCGTCCGGCCGCGATAGCCTGATAAGCTACTTGGGGATGGGTCCACTGCCAGAAAATGTTCCTTGGCTGGAAGCCCCCAATCAACCTGGACCAGGTTCAACGGAAGCTGACGAGCGTTGGACCTGTTAAGCCTAGTTGCAAACTCGTGCTTCTGTTTGGTCCCCTATTCGTGCGCACCCAATTGCTGTCGCAAACTACGGGCTACAGAGATTACTATTATCTACTTTTTGACACTAATAGAAGTTCTATAAATGAACCAAAAGCGAAGTCGCCTGCCTCGAAGTCAGATAAGCCGCTAAGCATAGCATGCGCCATCCCGATTGAAGGACAGATTTGATGGAGATTCAACTAGTGTGCAGAAATGTACGTTTGTGTAATATCTACACCAGGTCTGTATGTGACTGCGGGCACTCCGGCGCTTACATCCCACCAATGCGCTATGAGTAATTGCGATGTTTCCAGCCTCTCCGTTTTAGCTTTCTCACTGAGAGCTTAAGCGATTGGCCTCCATAGGTTGCCCTCGCTTCTCATTACCTGAAGTCTATGCATGGAGATTCCAAACTATCTGGGAGTCTGCCTTCCTTCTGAGCAACTACCATATATGGTTTTGGTTTCATCCAATAGAGCATCATGTAATGTTCAACTGCTGGGGTAAGCACGCTTTAAGCCCAGAGAATGCGGCTATATAAAGCTCTCCTCCTCTGCTGAACCTTCGTATTGAAGGAGAGCAACTTTCAACATTGTTCTCATCCCTTGAACTTCCTAGTGGCTATTCAATCCTAACAGTCCTCCTCTGTGGTACGTCGTTGGCCCCCTCTCTTGACTTAGCGAGGGATTCCTTTCACTCATGTCTCCTTCCAGATATTAGTCACATCTGGCAGATATCGTAGCATATCTTCGAATACCAAAAGAGCGTGAGGTGATCCCACCCTGTCAAGCAGCCATTTACTAACGCATAATAGGAAAATGTGCGGCACCGTCACTCTTACATTCGACTGTGGCCATAACGAACAGACCACAGAGATGGTCTTTTGTCCCGCCTACGGGACTACCAGGGAACATACGAACGACGGAGAAAGACGTTACTGTGGCAAGGAATGTACCACGTGCCGTGACAAGAACAAGAAGAAGTGAATCCACTGGACATTCGCATTCGATCTGAGTGCAGAGGAGGAGGACAGGTCGGCGGACTGGACGTGGGCAACCTTTGAAGGATGATGTCCTCTCGATCTTTCAGACGCAGTATAGTGGTATAGCTATAGCTTGGAAATTGCTCATTTCCAACACTGCGTGAAAACAACGTCCATTCACGCTTGACAGCAATATAATCAGTTAGAAAATTTCTTCACCCTTCACGCTACTACAAAAATTCTCCCGTATCAAAACAGATAGATCAGAGACGCAAATATGCTAGAATCAGTGAAGGGCACGACTCCTTGGCAACTTAAAGCGGTACTCTGGTTGACCACGCTGTTGGATTTAGTCAAGACGAGACGACGGCGAGTTGATAAACAGTTGAATTATCCCGATTATGCGAGTTTCACGGCTTGAAGCCATGGGGGTCATCTATCTGAGACGTAACAGCTGAGTGGAGCCAACGCCTCCCGTTGGACACTACTGTGTTAATACTGTGGCACGTGATAATTTGGCCTGCGGCGTCAAGAAGTCTGGACTGCGCTGGAGATGCCACAACCTCATTCTTTAACTAGCTACTTATTTTTATAGACTCGCAGATCTTTTCTAGTCATGCCTTGATAGTGAAGGCCGTAACTAACTAGCACGAGTAGTCAGGACTTCCAAGCATAATCATTTGAGGCTACAGGACGTAGGCGGTGAGCTCGCCAACAGATACTAGGGACTATTGTTTTTAAAAGGGGCTGCAAGATCAAAAGGGTAGCTCCATCGATTCATCTCTTTCTGTCTTCCAAACCGTAAGGAGATATGGGTGCCGCTGGCCATGTGATTGAATACGGATGATGCTGCGGCCGAATATCTCCTGTGCTTCATCAGAACTAGTGAGAAAGTCAACTCCAGACGGGGCCTCAAGTGTGGCTATGGAGCGTTTAGAGTGACAGCTGGCGGAAACCGAGGTGTTCTGAGCAGTCTTTGAGGTTATGTTCCGCCGACGCCTTTTCTGCGGGTGTTCCCCGCCATCAGCGGCAGCTTTTCTTGTGAGCAGAGTAGAGTTTACCACCCAACCGAGTTGGGGATAACGCTGACTAATATAATACGACGGCAACTTAGATGTTCCACCTCTTGAGAGCCCAGATTCCGACCGAACCTGGCAGAAAATCACATGATAGGTCACCCTTTTACACGATGCGACGCGGTCTTCGCCAAAGCAGCATCACCGACCCGTTTCAAATGGCTTTTATGCTCTTGTCGCAGACACTGCGGCGATTCTTGTCAGTATGTTATAGTCTCAAGGACTGGATGGAGATTACGTTGATTTACCCTTTGTCACGCCTGATCCACTGGCCCACTTGGCACGATATTGAGGCGGTATAAGTCGAGCGTCCCTTTCTATCGCAAGAGCTTCCTGACAAACTTTCAATAGGGACCTCAATACGATTACGAAGCAAGTGAAACTGGACAAGGAAAGGTTGAAACCATTAGCAGAGATGCTCAAGGACAATTTATCTCTGGTGGGCTAACTGGGATTGTGGAACTCCTTGGTGATGGTACCGTCCTTAAATCGCCATTCCCTGACGCTGAAATGGAAAACCACATCCTGGACATTGCCAAAGAAGCCAGTATTTATCATCGCGTTGGCCCACATGAAAGGCTGGTACGGATATTGGGTCACTCCAGGGACGGCCTTATTCTTGAGTACATGAAAAACGGTGATCTCAAAACATATATTCAAACTCAAAGCTCGATTCCGATGAGCCTGAAGTTGAAGTGGGCATACCAAATTGCGGAAGCCGTCTCTCTCCTGCATAGTAACGGCATAATCCACTGCGACATCAAACCACGAAATTTCCTCTTGGACGCGTCTCTCAATATCAAAATTATTGACTTCTCTGGCTCTTCGCTAGACGGATCCAAACCGGCCTCTGGTGAGGGAACTCGATTCTATCTCCCGCGACATTGGAGAGACCCACCTACCGTGGCTACGGATCTGTTTGCACTCGGCTCGACTCTTTACGAGGTTTTTCAAGAAACCAGCCCCTACGAGGAGATCCCTAGCGATCAAGTGGAAGTACTTTTCAAGAGAAAGGAGTTCCCTAATGTTTCTGCTATTCCGTGCGGAAAAATAATCAAGCAGTGTTGGTTGTCCCAAGTTGATTCAGCCGAACATGTGCAGGCTTTCATCCGAGATACAATTCGCAGCAAGCTCAACGCCGACTGTAGCCCTCATCTCGATGGTTTGGACATTGGTCAGGGTATGTTGATTGACCAAGTGGGGTATCCTTAGGATTGGGGCAGTTGACGCCAGTTTGCCTTGCTTTGAGGCATCGATTGAAAGTTCTGGTCGTCCTGTCGCATGATGTTGGACAGCCACGATAATGCTTGATGGACACAAGATATTCACACATCCTAGAAGCTGTCAACTATTGGTGATTTGCTCCTTCTTGATGGGATACAAACCTTGATTGCACTATTTCGTCGCTAGATAGAAGGGCGATAAAGAATGAAGCTGATGTCGGCGCAGATATTAGGTACCACGGCTGTTGAGCTAGCCGTCATTTATACTAAAGAACCTGTGGTCTGGGATAGGCGTCCAAAAACGGGGTGTTACTACCTGGTAAGACGCCAACGATATGCCAGCAAGATATTTGGAGCCTCGTTCCCCAAAGCTAACAAGAGTATCCATTACTGGCCAAAACGATCAGGCTTGGAACTGGTCTAAGCCTGGAATCGATGTGAAGCTGCACGCATTAGCGCCAGGCTGTTTCATGGATACCGCAGGAAAACTGCGCTACGTACCCGCTCATTCGATCGCTGCACCAAGTTTGAGTGCGGCGGTGGAAAGTGAGTGTGCACAATCCAGACCAATCATATTATGAGTACGAGAGAATCGGCCATAGACCAGGCAGTGAACAACTCCCCCTTGCGCGTCACAAATGAGGGGAAGCTGCGGTCAGCACGCTTAGAAGCCTGCGATTGGGTGCCTTGAAATTGGGTGAACTTTTGGAATGTCTCAAGTAACGACCTATTTATAGTCTTCCTGATTTACAAAAGCCAATGATTCCCGATAAAGAAGTTAGGGATTAGTTCTTGTTCTTGTTCTGTTTTATCTCTTCGTCGCTAATAGACAAAATGGAAATCCACCATACCAACGAGAAAAAAAGATCAGATCTTCAAACAACTGTCATTGCCAGTCGCTTGGGCGACTTTGTTTGTGAACTCACCACAATGATCAAGACATTGCAGTTCGGAAGGCTCCAGTTTACAAGCGATGGATACAATGCCATGGAAACTGCAAGCCGAGATCTTGCAAAGCTTTCAAAACACATGGCCGACGAAGTGAAGGCATTGGGGAAGAGACGGACATCTGCTGTTGTTGCAGAAGGACAAAAGTTGCTGTCCTGTGCGGAATCTACCAAGGTAGAATTAATGACGAGCCAGAAACCCCGACGTCAGGTCGTCTTTATTAGAAATATACAGCTGTTCTTTAACCCCCCCGAGGTATCGAAACTAGACTCTCCGGCAGTCCAAAAACGAAAGCAGCTGACCCGCGAGCGCTGTGAAAGACTGAGAAGTCTTGCTCCGAACAAAATGATTTTGTGGGCAGCAGCATTTGCTCCCAGCGTTTGGGATTCCAATGTACTTCAGAAAAGCACGTTCGAATTTGTCGTTGAATTCCTGGAGCCTGGGGATTCACTACAGTGGCCCGCTCACATCTACGAAATTTTAGATACATTGGCTCTGGAGCAGCCTCTTTGCCACTCAACCAATTTCAAAGAGTTCTTGACCGGTCAGAGAAATGACCCTTATCTAAATGGCTGGCAGCTAATAGAGTCTAGATATGCACCAGAGTGTTGGTATGGACCAAAACATCACTCATTCGAGTTCTCACGGAGGGCAGACGCTGGAATCAGATGTTCCTGGCGTCGATGGTAAGCAATCCTACGAATATCCTCCAAACTGATGCTGACGATTAAACAGAAGGAGCTCAGGAAGTCATTGAGCGAGCTTTTCTTGTCCCACATTCGAAGTTAGACAAACTCTTAAAGCTCCATCCTCAATCCGCAGCTCGTCATAGCATCATTCTCACTATTCCCATCGCAGACCGAGTAGCAACAGTTCTTATTTCCATACCGCGTGAGGATGCCATCCGATTTGGTTGGGAGTCATCACTACCAGTGATTTTCAACTCAAACCCTCAACATGCTTTCGTCCAATCAACATCAGCTCGACCAACATTGCCTCAATTTGGTGATTGATAGGTACGAGTCCCATCCATATCCCAGCTTTTCGAAGTGTTTCCCATTCGACCACGCCTGTTGAACCGTCCTTAACCCTTATACAGTCGAAAAATTTCGAGGATTTCGGTGGGCGGAATATAATCAAACGCTCTGTTGGCCACCCATCAAAGAACCGTAGGGTGTAAGAGACCCAGCTACTCTCATATTCCATTTTGGACTCTTCAAAGTCATTTCCGAACTAAGGGATAAAAACAACATTAGCTCGTCCCTATTTAGAGCAGCATCAATGAGAACGAACATGTTTGACAGCTTCCGCAGCGAGTTTCACCTTGTCGTTCGCGATTTCTTCAGATATTGGAACATATTTGGCTGCCATAGCCAGCTGATGCTGACCTCCTGGTTCAGCATATGGTCTGAGTTGGTCTGCATTACAAAACGGTATAAATCCAAACATTACAGTACGGACTCACTTGAACACAGTCAATAATCGCTTCGGCGTGCCTTCATGTATTGTAGAGAGGCGGTTCGGAAATGAGACACCAGTTCCTGATGACCGATATGAAAGAGGATTGTAGTTAGTGGACTTGCAGGCTTGTAAGAAGTGATGGACAACTGTCCTATTTTCGCGCTTTTGTTCTGGCGGTGGTTCCTTCCACGTTGGGTCATGGAACGGAGAGAAGAGGGAGTGTGGTGTCTTTAAAATCATGTGACTCGGCGGGGTGCCCAAAATGACGCCCAACCCCAAAATTCATGTGTTTGCGAGTTGCTTATCAAACACGTGAAAGTGGCACGGAAGGAATCCGACCAACCCACTTCTTAACAGCCAGAGACAAAACGTGAATTAGGTGATTTTTCAACTATACCCTACTTTTTAACGCTCTGAGTGAGTATTAGGTTCCCTTCCCAATGATTTGCTCTCGCTCCCGTAGCTGCGAATACGGCTATATCATCCAAAGCTATAATTCAGGTAACGTCCTAATATCACCTAACTTCATGCAACCAATCATAAGCTAAGATAGGTATGTACGCCACCCTTCGAGCGAAGTCAAAGAATACAGTATAGTATATACACCCAATTTGAAGCATATGAGAGCAAAGCGATATAAGTAGCGTGCAAAAAGATGTTCATTAGTACCATGCATATGCCAAGTTATTTCAGGATAGGGTAATCGTATAGATCCAACCAGTTCGAGGCGCTCCTTGCGCAAGTCGCGGCACAGTTTAGAGCTTGATCACAACAAGACAATGATCACAATGATCATGCATCTTGCGAGAGCGGAAGCGACATATCGCGCTGAAAGGAATAGATATCCTGCATAATGGTTCACTGAACGAAAGACATATAAGGAGGCAAGTTTTCCCTCAGGATTTCGTCAACCTCGAACATCGTTGACACACACAGACCATCAATCATCATAAGTACTTGCCCCAGCTGCACCAATCTTATTGCCAACCAATTCCCCAGCATGGCATATTCTCAAAAATCAATCACTGCATCTCCATCTCCATCTCCATCTCCATCTCCATGTCTCCAAGTCATGACGCCTCCTGGCAGCCCACCTCGGGTGTCGTCCTTGCAGGGCACGGACAAGGATGACCTCAAGGAACTCTTTGTCGACGCTATCCGACAGGTGTTGTCGGAGATGCCCGTTGTGCCTACCTCGTCGCCTGAAAAATCCCAGCTCGCCACTGCCAGCCTGCTGACGGATCTTCTGGAGGTCTTTCAGGCCACTCCGACTTCCGCTACTACTACCGGACACTCGCCATCAGCGTCTGTTGGCGTCGAGAAGGACAACCATCTTCAACTGCCTTGCGACAGTCGGGGCGTGACACCCCCTAACAGCCCCTGCATCACCCCTTCGGAGCCTGCTGCAGTTTTCCAGCTGAAAGAGCCCACTGATTCCCTCGTTCATGTTTCCGACGACCCGAGAGCATATTTAGTCTCTGCAGAGAAGCTGCGACCCAGTGCAAGCGACTCGAAGGTCGCCAGAAATCCAAAATCGGCAGTGACTCTCAATGATGATAATGTTGCAACTCTGAAAGACCTTGGACCAGCCAATGGTGGCCAATTGACGCAGAACACGGTCGATAGCGATGCGACAGGTGGACAACGGCTGGTGCGAGGCGCTCAGGTGTCAAATATGGAGGAGAGAAAAAATTGTGAAGTGTAAGTTCTGCCTTCTATCTGCGTGACACATCGCTAATCTCGGTTTTAGCTGCGACATAAAAAAGAGCCAATACAAGTGCTCCTCACCGCCTCTGCTTAACGCAGATGAGCTTGAGAGCCTGTTGGCGAACGCTGCCAAAACGAGGAACTGGGCTGACTCTCCAGACACGGCAGATAGTCTTGACCTTTGTGAGGCTCGTGAGATCGAATCCGAAGATCTTAGGGGTGACCGTCAGGGTAGTCCCTATCCAGAAGACTCCCATGTTCCCTCGGAGCCTGTTACAATGAGACAGTTGAAAGACCTTTTCCAAGCTGTGCTTGATTGCAAAGCTCAAACGGCTTCCGATGGCGCGGATAATAGTCCCGCTGGACCCAAGAAGACGGCAGAGAACAATCAGGATAGCGAGGACAAAAGGATTCTGGCCTCCAGGATTGAGTACAAGACCGTCAACGAAGCGTATGTCCAGCACTGTCCGTATTTCACATCTGCTAATTATAAGCGCAGCTGGGATTCCAAGGCGTACGAGTACAAGATCGTCGATTCCCCTCCCCCACAGGATGTGAGTGAATTAGACGAATTCGTATTCGTCGTCCGCAAGCGTATCCGTAAGTATCGCCGATCGTTGCAGCTCTTTGAGCGTCTGACATGTCCGCAGAAAAACAAACGCACGATATCATCATCTACGTGGATATCAAGTCACCAGTCCTGCGAGACATCTTGAGATGCATCCTGAAAGACATTAGAACAGCGGGACTTGAAGCCGACAAACCTGCGGTATGGCTACTCATGCTTTATGCAGGCGTTCTTGCTAATAGCAGGATAGGTGGAGCGGAACTTATTGTTCCATTTCCTTCCAGAGTTGAAAAGTTTTGGCACCGGCTCCGACGATGATACCACGGAAGAGGATGGCATGCGACACCTGAGTCTGCTAATCAAGCACCTAGAAGAAGCATACGAGTCAACAACCAGCCAAATGAACTCGCTTCTGGCTCACAGGAAGATAACATACGACTTGTTATGGGCGTTCTTCAAACCGGGCGCACTGCTGTACATGACCTGCCCTTCCACAGGTCTGCCCCGGTGCGTTCGTTACAGCTGCGGCAAAGAGACGAAGACAGTCCGGAAGGGTGTTTGTTTTGAGATCCAGTGTCAGTATTTTGATTACGACGGAGAAGTGTTCGGTGAATCTACCGAGATTTTGCAGATTGAAATGTTCTCCGGAGCACGCAGAATTGAAAATCTTCCGGCATATCCATTGGAATTCCACCCTGACCCGGAGATCTGGTCGCGCCTAGTATCGGCTGGTCGAAAGTTCGTGTCGCTCATTGGCTGTTACCATCGGCAATATGAAGGAAATATGTTCGTCCAACATAAGGATCAACTAATGAAAGTCCATGTCATTAGCAGGATCATGATCGACGCCCAGCAATTCCGGAAGTGGAATCCCAACTATGCAAGACTAACGACAAAAAAGCCCCATACCGATATGTTTGGCCAAATTTTGGATCACGAAATTGTTGACCGTGTCCAGAGTAACGGTATGGATCCCAGCGAGTTAAAGGAGGAAGAGCTAGCTATCTGCAGCCCGACGGTTCTCGGTTTCTCCCTGAACGAGAAGATTTGGGGTAAGTCGACGCTTGACGACCGGTGAACTCAGTTGGCTAATGTCACTAGGAGAATTTGCGGTAGAAAAGGTGGCTGCGATCCAATTCTCTGATACGCCCTTTGACATGTTAGCAATCCCCGAGGACAAAAAGAAGGTCATCAAATCTCTCACTGAAAGTCGGGTCCGCGCAACGACCGAGGGAAAATTCGATGACATCATTGAAGGAAAGGGGCAAGGGGTCATCATACTCCTGCAGTATGTATTCGAAACCTCCCATAGTGGTTTAAACTGCTAACTGGTATGGGAAGCGGCCCTCCAGGCGTAGGGAAGACTTTGACAGCAGAAGCCATCTCTGAACGACTTCAACGACCGCTCTACTCGGTAAATATATGAGCGTTACATCCTCTCAGCCACATAGAAGCTGACAAGTGCAGATTTCCGCTGGAGACCTCAGCGCTCAAGCTGAGCAGCTTGAAGTCCAGCTAACACGCACCTTCCGTGTTGCCAGCAACTGGAAGGCTGTGCTCCTCTTGGATGAAGCGGATGTTTACCTGCAGCGACGGGATGGCCTGCACTTAGAACGCAACCGCCTTGTTGCCACGTTCTTGCGCACGCTTGAGTATTATCCCGGTATCTTTTTCCTCACGACGAATATGCTCCAGGACTTCGATGCAGCCATCCTTGACCGAATCCAGTTAAAGTTGCAGTATCATGATCTGGACTCATCGGCCCGACAAGCCATCTTCAGACACTTTTCTGCTAAGACAGGAGCGGAAATTGTGGAAGATGAGATACGCAACTTCGCCGAGGTCAGCCTGAATGGTCGGCAGGTGAGAGATTCGCTCCGTCCTGAGATGTAGGCGTATACTGACATAATATCTAAAGATCAAAAATGTTATCAAGCTTGCACACAACGTCGCCATGTCTGAGGGGGTTCCACTGCGTGCGGATCACATTCGATCGGCCCTTGGAGCAAACGGGTATACTATACCCACTCCTGGCTCCAAGGTTTACAATAGTCTCTATGACTATTAGGCACAGCTTAAGGGAACGCAAAAGGGATTTTGGCCACTTATTCGATTTGCCTCCTGTGTTCCTTCATTGAATATGTCTTTCTGTTTGATATTTCGCCTATTTAAGGGCTGCGTGAATTCAGAGGTACAGTTGCGAGAAACTAATTTATTCGAATGCTGTTTCCACGGTCAGCTCCCATCAGCCCAGGCGCAAAGCAGACATGTCGATAGCCCTGACGGTAGAGTCTTTCCCACGATCGCTGTCTCTTCTAAATCACAGCTGCAGCCTTCAACTAATGGAGGATAAAGTCCCTCATGGACAAGGCGTTGCGAGCGTGTTGTCAAACCTTTGTAGCGGAGCGGACACTATGTGTTCCTAAGAGAACAGCATTAGAGCGTTTCCGGGTACTTCGTAGGAGAGAACTTGGAACTTGGGAAGTCCTCATGGAGGGCGGGCCACCCTCACTAGGATTGTGGCTTCGAAGAGGCTCACTTTTACCTAATTTAGCTAGTATGTGATTGGTAGTTATCACCTCCAGACTACCGATGACTCATAAGCCTAGCCAACGACGGCATGCGACTATCACGTGCCTTGCTACTAGTGGCCGCAGCTCGTGCTGACAGTCTTCTTCTGGTCATTGAGAGTCGAAACGCCGTCTCAATTCACACAAGGCACAGCACTGCCACAAACGGGAAATACTGTCCAATGTGCTTCACTTTGTGGGAGGACTGCCAGGCCAGGCAACAGGCAACCTAAAACGCGGTTTGCGGTTACCTGCAGGTAGCAGGGCAAGATTCTCTCTCAGGTGTCTGTCACTCATAGGTGCGAGGGCGAAGTGTCCGTTTCAATATCCTAGGACATCATCACTATAGTCAGAGCCTAAGGCAGATTTTGTGGCTATTTTTTGCACTATGGGCCCTCGTCCTTCTTGCTGCGCAATGAGTTGTCCTCAGGGCGACATACCTAATGCACTGTGGCACAGGCAGCCTGCATCAGCAGCCTCCTTTCTCATGCTAGCTGGAGATAGGCAAGCCCTCAACTGTCGTCCACGTGACTCAGTTGCGACCGAGGATCGTTTCCTATTTTTCAGCCTACAATCCAGAAAGGGGATCGTACAAATTTTGGCATCCCTTGCTTTGGAAAATATTGCTACGAGGAATATCCGCCTGGTAGGCAAGGTGGTCGTAAGTCGTATGTATACATATCGTCTGTACTGGCCGATCTACCCGCGCAAAATGCGAGATCCCATTCTTTGTTAGCCTTACCAAAGAGTAAAACCAAAGCATGAAAATACAAATAGAAATATTAATTAAACCAATTTAAGCCAAGCCGGTCCTAATCGTTTGGCGGTTGGTACAGCAAGCTGGTTCTCACCGAGAAAGGTGACCCCAGATGTCGCTGCCACGGTATCTTCTAGGACAACCGTGGCCTGCACACACCGTGGTTTCTTTATGTTCCTGCGTTATTCCGGTCAACTCTGATCTATCAGCCGACCTTTTAGCGGTGGAAGACTGGTCATCATCTCTGCTGAAAGAATGGCCCCGAAAGATCGTGGCCCAGGCGCTGATATAAGGCAGCCTTCATCTCTTTACGCATAGTAGGGTTCACTCATTTCCCCCCACTATAAAAATTAAACCACTTATACCACTTATTTAAATAGAGTGAATGCGAGGAACCATGCTGGATACTAAAGTGTGTACGACGCATCCAAAACTGCACGAGAGCTCGAGGCCAAGCAGCAAATCAGTTCGCCAGAAGCGTGCCCGTCGCAAAACCGGCTTGATGAAAAAAGCGTCCGAGTATAGCAAGATGTGCGGCGCCGATGTTTGTTTAGGCATACGTATAAGAGACACCGGTCGTGTCTATATGTTTTCTGCGGATGCTTCGGGATTTTGGGGATTTGTTGGATCACAGTTGGTAATCACTCCCCCGATATACCTATCTCTTTAATAGCTAATTCGCATTAGGGATCCTATTATCCAACCCCAAGTCAGGTCACTGACAAGGACATTGGCAAGTCGGGAGATTAAGAGTAGGCCCAATAATGCTCCTCATGTGTCCATAGCAATATAACGAACTCCCACAACTTATCATTTACGGCTTTCTGCCTCCTGTCCGTGTTTGCACGGAAGAGAGCCGTAACAAATTCCTCGAAAACATCCAGCTCATCAAAACTGTCGATGCGGACTGATTCAATCCTTCCATGTCGCTTGACACTAGACTCCCTTCCCTTAGGACATGCATAAACAGGATGTCTGCTGCCGTTCCCAGCTGGATCTTGATACCAGTAACCAAACAATACGCCCTGTTCACAAAATAACGGAGTTGGCAAACGCTTGGGAGGGATATTTGGGTATCGTTGTTGCAAGACTGAGTGGCGCTAGGCGATAGCCACCTAAGTTGCTCTACATAACGTATCCAGCCGTGATCATAAGCAACAATAGACGGCGCTCCCAAAGGATCCTCAGCGTTTGGTAGATAAATTGGCTTGTCACGGAGTAACGCTATATGACGACAGACAAATTGCCTACTGAGAGTACGCGACTCGGCGGGCCGGCGGAGGCGCTGGAAGAAGACAGGTTCCTACCAGCTCGTTTGTTGACCTGCTGAGCAAGCCTACTTCCTAAGCTGACGAACGCAAGCCGTAAAGGCTGAATCTCCCATACTAGGTCAAATTGGTCAGGAGACAGCGCTCAGGTACTGACGTTGGACGCTCATGCCCCGCGTGTTGACAGGATTTGGGCGCGCGGGCCTAGGTCCGGAGAACGCTCGGATCAGTATGGCTGAATCTCGTCACTGCTTAGGCGTCCACATATCCCAGGCACACAAGTTTATGGCTGGCTGGTCCGTAGGCTACCTTTCACATCTCACGCATATGTTTAGGCCCCGCATATCTCAGGAAGTAACGGCGAACTTCCTAAGGTCTTCTCTTCGACTACTACTATGCATCTCACTCTCTTCGGTGCCCTGCGGGTTTGCAGACCCTCCCAGAGGAGGTAGGGGACATGGGAGTTACACTAAAGTCAGGTGTTCAGGCTGGCAGAGAACCAGATTTCGCCTTGGAGATCGGGAGCTTAAATGGTTCACTTCCAATATTGCCAACTTCAATCATTAGTCTGGCCGTGGCTGGCGGAAAATGCAAGCTTCACTGGAAAGAACCACTGAAGCAGCGACAGTGTTTGGCCTGACAAATATCAAACACTCGCTGACCCTATTTTTGTCAACTGTCCCAGGGTCGCCCGCGATCTCTTTGAAAATGACCATAGCAGTTCCTCGATACGCACGTTCTCGTCCTCAGCCAAGCGTAGCTCGGTACCTGTGAAGCTGCATTGGTCATCATACGCGCATTTGGATCTTGAACGAAAGACCTGTCTCTAAATGGAAGTTGGAGGAAAGCCGCTTGAAGATCATTCATTTACGCGCCAGTCATGTACGCTTTCCCGTGGGCCTCGGGATGGCGGCCTGGCAGCGATTGCATCCGCGAACCTACGAAATTATAGTATCCACCACATAAGCTCTTAAGTGCGCCCTTGCTGCTTTGTTTTTCGTCTGTACTATTCGCACCGTTTATGGCGTGCTAAAGCGACCCGGTCGATTTCAAGTTAATAGTGCAAGTGTGCACATCAAGTCCGCCTTGCTGGTTTAACTGCATTATTTTTGCAATTATGTCCTGAGGGCATCCTCTGTCATCATGTCCACTCGCTCCGGGTTCTTGATTATGACTTGCGCAATCATGCGCAGGTATCGGGTTGCTTCCTTATACACTTCCCTTATGAAACGGGTGCAACTTTGGAACTGGAGGTTGCTGACACACTTGATCCGCCACGAAGGTGCTCCCAGTTAGGGTACTTCACAGCACTAATTGCTTTCTGTATCACTGCTCGATGTTAGAATTTGCCTTCTGATAGGTGACGAGATCGTACCGGTTGTGCTGAAAGGCTTCTTCTCGTTTTCAGGACCACACCTACTTGTCATCAAGATTTCCTGAAGTTGCTGGAGGACTTCTGTTTTTCTCTGGCAATAGGGCTTCCAATATCGTACCAATGTATCTGATCATCACTGCATTCTGCTATGCATTTCAATAGTATTTCTTGAGTTCCCTCAGAAAGGTCCAATCTGTTCTCATCTTCCGGATCATCGTCAGACAGGTTTATGGACCAACAGGAAGCGCTCCGACAGCCCTGCGCCAGGAACACTGGGAGGTACACCAGACTGCAGCTCCGGAGTCGTTGCTGGCAGAGACGTTGGGAGGAACACCAGAAGGTGTAGCTCCAACAGTCATGCCATAAGAGACACTGGGAGGTACACCAGGCTGTGTAGCTCCAGAGTTATTACTGGCAAAATCTCCAGGTGGAATGCCAGAGGCGGTGGTTTCTCAGCCTTTGTGCCACCAGTTATCGCCCAAGATTTCGCTGGTGGTGTGACTAATGTGGTAGAGACACCGACTGCAGGATTGGGACCGGATGGCCCAACTCCGGAAGCTGTATCAGCAGACGCAACATGCGGCGCGACGCTTTCTTCGGAAGACATTCTTATAGGCTGTGATCGGACAAATAGAAGTTGCTCTCCTAAAACAGACAATCTAAGTTTAGGGATTTTGGACCAGGCCAGCAGTCAGAAGTGACTTAGAATAAAGGTAACCTTACCTGGAGGAAAGGCATTATCAAACTCTTAAATATATGTCCTGCGCGATACTGAGAGCTATATTTACATGGCTTGCACTGAAAATTCCATGGTTAACAGCAAATATGGCCCCTGAAATTCGTGGCGTCACAGAACTGCGGCCGTTGCCTCGAATCCAAGGGGCGGTGAGAAAATGTGCTCCAAGCGCCCAGTACAGTGGCAGTAAGGCACTAGCCCCCAGCCACATTCCCCACCCAATAGTGGGTGGCCATGACCAGCCCAGAGACTAACGTCTGTGGACTGAGGCATGTCTCCATCGCCCTCACTCGCACTACTGCGTAGAGGAAATGATGGGGAAACGATTGAGGGTGACATTTTATAAAGTTACTTCAAATAATATCGTGCGGTCTGTAGACCAGTGGGGCCGCAACAATGTACAAAGGCTGCATCACGTGCGCTAGATTTTTGGGCCAACATTGGGCATCGGAGACAGTCAATCCCGCTCTCCTACTTTTACACACGAATCTTTAAGTTGAGTTCTCACAAGTTGTAGTATCAGTATTCTGAACTATATCACCTTCGTGCAGGGAACCAATTGTTGAACATCCACTGACTCGAAACTACAAGCGTTATCGGGCGATATGAGTAACGACCAGCTTGCTCTATCCAAGACTAAGCTTGGTGATAGCATCGGCGATCTTAGTGCTAGTATTTAGGAGTTTGTCCCACTTTTTACTACCAGTAGGGCGTATGCTAAAGGTGACAGATATTTTCACTCATCAACGTTCTCAGATCTGACGATCGTGGCGAAAGATCGAGAACTCAAGGTTCACAAAATAATCATTTGCGGACAGTCGGGGTATTTCTCCCGACTTTTCAAACGTGACTGGAACGTAAGTCAGCGATGGTAACAGAAGGTTATACCTGTGCTTAAATGGGAACAGGAGACACAAGAAGCTACGATACGACTTGTCGAAGATGATCCTATAGCTATTGAGGCAATGATCCACTTTATGTATGGATTCGACTACGACAGCAGTGGCGGCGACCGCGGTCGTGTTTCCCTGATGCTGTTTAACGTAAAGGTTTACCAGGTCGGAGACAAATATGACGTTCCGAAACTTAAAGCGCAAGCAAGGCAGAAATTCATAAATGCTATCGAAAAATGCTGGGAAATGGATGACTTCCCCGTTGCTATTGCGGATACATATACAACCACAATTTCGACAGATAGAGGCCTCAGAGATCCTCTTGTTAGCACAGTATTGAACCATATTGACGTCTTGTTGAAAAATGAAGATTTCGTGCAAGTCCTGAGGGAGACTATCGGGTTTGCGGCTGACCTCGTTCAAAGTCAAAAGCACATGGTCGAGCTCAAGAGGTACCGGTGTCCCGATTGTTCTGAGAAGTGGGCCGTGGCGGGATCTGTGAATGTTCGATACTGCCCGCTATGCTCATATAACACCAAAAAATGGACGGGGTATATTGTGAACGATTGAAATTTTTTTTTTAACTAGGTTATGAGGCCCTCCACCTACAGTGACTTTCAAAATCAACCTGCCGTAGCCAAGATGTTCATTCTATTTCGAAACTCATGGAAATCAATACTTGGACGGTGAGGTGCGAATTTGAATGCGGTAAAATGGGTGTCACTGTCAGGACTTCCCAATCGTCCTGATTTGCAGCATGTGATTTGACAGCGTTTCCGTCCCATCAATGAAGGAATCCTTGGCATCCGTGTGCCAGCACATTAATTTTTATTCTGTTTGCCCGCAGTCAGGTTATTAAAGCCACAAATAAGCGGCTGTAAACCAGTGGAGAGTCGAACAATATTGATAGATGATCATGCTATCATATACTCTCATTCGCTTCGAGAGAATTTTGTCAACGCAGCTTGTCGCAACTTGAACAAGGTCTTCCATAAAGCTCTCCTACTAAGCCGCAATGCGCAGTAGAGGCTGTGCCTTTACTGACGTTGGCCGCTCGAGGCTCACACACGGCAGGAGCTAATGACTTGGACTCCGCGTAAGTGTATTCTAAGCGTCTCAGCTTTCAAACGGGTGTCTCATATACTGGAACTGGGGTTGCGCTGAAGTGTTTCAAACGATTGTGGCGCTTCAGCGCTTCATCGCTTCGCTCCGCGAACAGAACCTGAGGGCCTGGTTGTATCCACCACATAGCACACTATGAGTAGAAATTAAAACATATTTAATATAAAAAATGGAATACTTCTGTAACCCCATACCTTAGGTTGTCGAGGCAAGGAAAAATTGAGGTCCAGTTGCCGACTCAGCTATGGAGTTCATGTTAACAGACACCGAACCGCAACTTACTATGAAACGGTTGCTTAAGTTCCCAAGGTACTCCTAATATCGATCTCGAGGACATCTCTACACGTTCAGAAGTGGACACGTTCAGAAGTGGATGGACCATGAGGTTGATCAGAAAAATGTGGCGCGACTATGTGAGACAGGGTGTCAACGACTGGAGAGTCACTGGACAATCGAAACCACGTGACTGCGATTGTCTCCAACTCTCCATACAGGACTTGAGGAGAGAGTGCCGCACGGCAGGACTCGCGACTGAAGAGCTAAAATCTCATCAACTACAGTACCCGCACCTCCGCGGGCAGCACAGGCTCAAGGCCGGCGAGGAAGCTCTATTTCTATATCGTGGTGTGTATCCATTTTTCTGGCAATCCCGTTATCTAGCCCGTTCTTGAAGACATCAGTCAGGACCTACAGAATGCCCTCGTGGACGAATATGCGAACGAAAAAGCCCACAATCGAGGGGGTAATATGCAGAAAGATCCGCCAATATCAGCGGGAGAACAATGCGCTCTTCAAAATCGCTGGTGATCTCGACTGTCGCCGAACAAGGCCCAGCGGTTACGACAGCTCACTTTCCAAGACAATTCGTATCTCTGTGCAGCGTTTGACGGGTTACTTGCGATCCCCGGAGTTCGGAACGGCGTGAGCTTTGGGTCCTTGAATAGTATAATGGCATTAAAGTGTGATGAAGTTGGTTTTATCCTTTGCTGTCTGTAACTGCTAATCTGATTCCTCTAGGAGATTATACACTACCTGACGCATGTTAAGAATTTCTGGGCAACCCTCGTCAACCATGACCACACTCGGATGGCCCGCGTTGACCCTCATATGGTTGACTCGCTGCCGCTGCACGCGCTTCGGGGGTCCAGAATCGTCAGAAAGACCGTGAAAGGCGAAATCCGTAATATCCCACAGTTCGGGGCGCACTAACCATTAGCTTTCGATTTCGTCGTGCCGACAGTGATCATTCGATAGAGACGTCCCGACGCTACTTCCGCCGACAGGTGGGATCATGAACGTATAACGCCCGGATACTTCCAAATATGGATCTAGGCCATGCGGCATTACCCTGAAATTGCCAAGAATATCCAGAGCGGCCAGAAGGCTAACCCCAACCGAAGGCCCGAGCGAAGGCGGACGAGAGCGTAGTTCATAACATGGCCGCGCGTGCATGGAAATTGGGCTTCCGTGCTCCGCAAATTAGGGCGTAAAGCAGTCGCCTGACCGACAGATTGCCAAGGCCGCCCTGCTTAAAGCCCGGAAGCTGGACCACTACCACTATGACATTCGAACCTTCGAGTCTCTTATCGAACGAATTGACGGTTGCTTCGCACTCGCTATTTCGAACGAGGCCCCGCAAGCGGTGCTCATCAGTGGCCGGGCGGTTAAGTCGAATGAGCGCTCTAGTGCTCTGCAGGAGCAAACCCAGCGGTTGTACCGTCCTACACCCTCTTAGACCGACTGCATTTGGCGACTGCATCGTCGCGTCCGTCATGCATAAAGGCACCAGCTGTCAATGGCGGGAATACGGAGGCAAAGTGGCAGCCATACGATGCTAGACAGAGGGGCGATCGCAGAGCAATCAGGAAGATCGGTCGCGGTTCGGGATCGATCGCAACCAGCGGGACGATGAGAATTTGCCACGATCTCCCTGCGGTGTTTGAGAACCAGTCCGCAACCACCCCCAAGCAAGATAGAGTCCGTAAACCGCGGATGAAAAACCGACCGACGCATCAAGATATTAGTGGGGCAGGGACCCGGAATGCCGCCATCGCTGATGAATTATGGGATGGTGAAGAGGGCAGTGGAACCAGGGCTGGTCCTGCTGAACACGGACCCTCAACAGGACACAGAACGATACCCAGCAGATCTACCCAATCAAGAACAGGCCCAACGGGTAACGATTGGAAGACGGGAGGCTGCTCGTTGACAAGCCATAAATGTTGGAAGACACAGATGACCAGGAGGTCGGAGAAATTCAGGAGAATCTCACCAGTGAAGATCTCTGCAGTGATCCACCACCAGGACGGAGAGTTACCATCACATTCCATGCTTACCGTGTTTGTGAGCTGTGACAATCCACACGAGGCACAGAGCATTGCGGACCACTATGCGCAGGACCAGAGCAAGGATTCACTTCTATGGTCGTGCGATACTGAAGGTAGCCGTCGATGAGTTCGTTCGCGCAACGATCACGGATGGTAGCTTCACAATCTTCATGCATTCTGGGAGGGACCTAATGGTGACGCGGCATCTTGTGGGGTCAGTGGCACGACTGCTCGAGACCATTGGGAACGATGGGCAAGTCATCGAGGATGGAATCTCGTAAATGGCCCAGCAAAATAATGGTTGGTCTGTAGGCCATGGGGATCCTACCAATGTAGTCAGGCGTCCACAATGGTCTTGCACCTCGTACGGACGCCAGTTGGTGGTCCTCTGTCTGTGCCGGTCGTACGACCGCGGTCTTTCGATCATATAGGTCGGAAGTGCTAGGTCGCGTGTTCCTGGTCCTCCATCACCATGCCTACGCACCCCGTCTTACTGCCCGGGTCATCAGCATCTGACCCTAAGCCCGTAGCCCTCCGCTCTAGTCGCTCCGACCCTCCAGGTGTTCAGACCCTGAGCATTTGTCCGTTTTTGACCTAGAACCTCAGGCGGACATCAGGAAAAGTCTTAAAACCTTATTGATCGTGAGCCTGAGACCGCTCGTACTAGCTGGGACGGGCATAAATTGTTCGTTTGGAAGGTGAGCCTTACAGGAAGAGACTTCTCTTGCAATAGCAATGCCGTACGAACCTAGGCATCCTGCTGGAGCCGATGCTCCCTTCGGAGTGAGGGCCCCACGTGGAGCAGAGCTGCGTGCGGACGTAGGCATGCAGCTGGAATCGATGCTCCCTACGGAGATACTTATTCGTTGAGAGCAGAGGCTACACATAGATGCTCGCCTCCAGATGGCCCGAGGCCGTTGATATGGGTGCCACGCCATTTTCGGCGCGCCTTTCGCAGCGAGATAGAGTTAAGGTCATCCCGATCACCCTGATCACCCCAGATTCTTTGCAGGCAATCGGCGCCTATCTTAAACGAGGTATAGAGACTATTTTGGAATGCACTTTTGTGTTTGAAAAGTGTTTTGCGTTCGCTTTTCTAGATGTGGTCGCGCAAGGAGGGTGAGTATTGGAATATATAAAGACCTGAACTTCCAAGGCTTTGCGCCTGGAGTAGTCGCTCTCATTCTATCCATTTACCTCTTATTGTCGCTGAAAATTTCTGATCCTGGCAAAAGCCTAGAAGAATTCGTCATCGCGAGCCCAATAAGCCAAAGGCAAAATATCAACAACACCAACGACGATGAGGTACCTTGTTCCGGAAGGCGGTTGAATTCTGCCAGGAGCTCGGACGTCTCGCTCATTGTTCAGTTGAAAGAGAATGGCCAGACTTATATTTTTAACTCGGATACCCGATGGTCCCCTTCGCAGGAAGGCTTGGTACGGCTTACAGCTTACGTCTCAGCAACGTAGATTAGCCGTTGGCATCAACTTTACTTCAGCCTGGTCCTAAGTCTTTCTACCAGAGCGTGTCCTGATTCTGGAGGGCTTGTCGGGACCCAGAAAGCACAGGTGCGCATTCTTGAAGTGCCCAAGAAATCCACCATCCGTAACGACAAAACCACACGAGCACTTCGTGATACATATTTCATGAGTGCTGTTCAAACATGTCTCCCAATAACTCCATGCCAACCCCCGCCAGGTAGCATCTTTTCTCGCTATATCCTTCAGTATCCCTTCTATCCCAACCCACGCTTCGATCGCGAGGTTAACCTCTCCGTTCTCAAGAGCGACGTTCAAGCAGTCCAAGTACAAGTAGTAGCAATTGGCTCTGCTGTTTTCATCTAATTCCTGCTGAAGACCCCATGCGAGGTAGCGTGAAAACGACTGAATAGTATAGCGCGTGGCAAAGTCCTTGGTCACAAGGAATCCACCCTTTATAGTCAAGGTTGCATGTAGGCAGCCGGACGGTATTGTCAAAGCGTGACCCGAATTTGTCTGGAGTAAAACACCACCCTCTAATAGAGGTGCTAGTCGAATCAATTTCGCCAGTTGACCACTTTCACTCGCCATCAGCGACAGATTCCTTTCTGTCGGAGGCCACATGAACCATATTTTCTCACAGTCACCTAGTGGGACAGAAAGACCTTCCATTCCGTAGTCTCTTCTAGGTCAGCTCTTCCCACGGTCATCGTTCAGAGGTGCCTACCGATATGAATCTGGACAACAGAAAACGTCGGCGTGACATTAAAGGACACTTGTTGTTCCAAGAATGGAGTAGCCGTCTCGAAGAATTCTTCAGAAACATAGAAAGGATACCGGGCGATAAGTGCTGCCGGCATGGCACCTATGATATAGGTGGGATTTCTATAGTCTGGCTGAGCCAGTTGGCAGTAAGCAGCCGTCGGGTCCCCTTTCAATTCACCGCGTTCATAAACTCGAAGGTCTAGTGTAACATTTTCAGTATCCATCTCTGGATTAGGTTGCGGAAGACAGGACACGTGTTACCCTTTCTGGCTAATCGCGTCGTGGCGGACCAGGTCTCTTGAAACCCAGGTTGTCCCGATGACCAACAACCCGAAGCGGATAATACTCGAGGCGGGGAACTGGTAGAATCGGTCCAGAGCGACAATACACTGGGCGGTATATGCTCAATTCCGGAGAAGGAGCACGCAGTTAATGTCCGGATAAGACGAGGATCGAATCCCACCAGGCATTGTAGTGTATGTTTGATTTCTTCGACGCTGCCGTGCTGCAGGTGATTAAAACGAGCCTTGCCATTTGAGTAGCTGTCGAAGGAGAAGCATATGAGGAACATACGGAGGCAACCTTAGGAGAGCTATCTGTCGGTAACACCAGGGATTCCGGGGTTGGGCACCCATTGCCACGCATTCGATCTTCTCCCATTATGGTTTTGTCCATCGGAATGATTTTCCAGGTTGGAACTCTAGATTGCTGTTCGTCAGTGTTTGTAAGAGGATTTGTAGGTCGCGCTGGAGCTCGCCTGATTGCCCTTCTCCCTCCCCTTTCATGTTTCACGGTCAACTGACGGGCCTTGTAGGTTCGTCCTTTGAGATGATTTCGAAGATTACTCGTCGTCAAGAAAGATTTGTTGCAATACGGGCAGGTCCTCATGCAAGTGGCCACTGTCAATTCTGCATTCCGCCACGGCCAATTCTGGTAAATACTTTTATGTTCGTCACAGGTGCAGCCCCGAAATCGGATCTGAGTATCCTCACTGCTCATATTTGTACCACAACTAGGGAGGAGACTCATCTGCCACATGTGGTGGTATGGATTTGATTGTGGTATAAATCAAGGGTGATGGCAGCTTCAAGAAGAAATAAAATTTGCGGAAGTTCAAGTGATCTTCGCCTTATATATTAATCATGGGCAATATAAAATATTCTCGAAAGTGACTGTCAGCGGCCACTTGATTGTTAGGACAAGATTGAAATATTAGAATGGATTAAATCGTTTCAATCGATTAAATCAATTTAATCGGTTTCTTCGTTGCTTATTGGCCAATGAAAACTTTGGTCTAGAACCAACAAACTTGGCCTGCCTAGCAAAGAACTTACTAGCACCTTCTACCCCCGATAATTTTCAACCATCCCCATCTTCCCTTGTCACATTGGCAAGATACAGATCTGCTACATCTCCATGTGCGTTTTAACCATCCTTTAGGATCAACTTCACTGGTTTCTGCTGGGGTTCGAATCGTTTGAGTGGATGAATTCCGATTTGTCAGACTTGTTCTCAACTGCTCGGTCGAATACACGTCTATAAAGATATTTTAACCTCTAGTTATTGAGCGCCAAAGGTTTTGGTGGAAGCCAGTAGATTTCTGCTGCCTTACCAACTTTGCTCCTGGTGAATTCTATTGGTCCTCATTTTATTGAGGGTCAAAATGGGTTAAATACTCCGAAACGCCCTTCCACCAGTCCATCAATCAGAAATAATTCAGCGCAATATGGTATTTTTACATTCTGCATCAGGAATGGTAAGTAAACTCTTGTTCTCTGTGTCACCTGCTTAAGTCTCCAGTTTGACGAGGTCAATGAGCTTCCAAAATCCTTGGCTCCTGGAGATGTTCAGGTACATCTGGTCTCCTCTACCTACAATAAAGCGATACATAATGCTTTGAATAGGTTGTGGGGGCCTTCTTAGCTCTAATGAAGCGGTTATCAAAAACTGCCCAGAAAGATATCCTTGCGCAACTTCTTTCACGCTGCTGCGCAGATATCCTCGGAACCGAAGGTACTGATTAAGCCCAACCGATTGGCAACTAAGAATTGCTTAAACCTTCACAGGATCTTCCCCAGGAAGCCAGTATGTATCAATGCAGGATGTGCATATTCAGCCTCTGTATACAACAAATGGTGGTAAGATGCAGGTCTACGGGTTCATT